TACAAAGAAACAGTCTTTTACATTAGATGGAGACCATTACAGAAAACCATAACATAGGAAACTGCAGAATTGTGGAGCCCAGTTCCAGTAGATGGATACATTTACAAACCACTCCTACACCTAAGACTCAGTGAACACTGCAGAAGAGGGGGTAGAAGGATTATAAAAGCCAGAGATCAGTGACCTTGCTGTGAGACTGTGTCTCCTAGTAATACAGAAGCTACACACATAAAGTATCATCACCATGACTACCAACAGGAGCTGAACAAGAACACACCAACAGAAATGCCAAAGTGGATGGGGAAAAGCCCATGAGACCTCAATCCTATGCAAGGAACTGCAGGCAAGTAAGGATGTTGAGAGTGTGAAAATAGTCTTCTCCAGGAAAGTATGCCAGTTGGTCATCCAATACCAAGTAGTCAGTCCTGAAAACATACATATGAGTATCATTATACAGCCTAAGCACATTATATTTAGGACTATATATGTCTACACATATACATATATGAAGGTAACAGCAAATAAAGGAGGCCATGACTCTCAAAAGGAACAAAGAAGATACATGGGAAGGTTTGGAGGGAGGAAAGGGAAGGAAAAATGATGTGTTACATTACATCCTCAAAATAGACAGGAATGAAGTGGACAGCCATTCTAGTGCAGAAGTGGAATTCAGTGGAGGAAGTAGAGAGCCTGTCTCAACTATTTTAAAGGAACTCCTTAGAACACTAAGAAGCAACAATGTGTAAGGAAGAATGGAACGTGCTTAAAGATCCCTGAAGTGTCATTTTGAATCCTGCCTTCTCAACTTACTGGCTGTGTAACAACTGTTACTCTACTTAACTTCTCCTAAGCATCAATTTCAGTCTCCTATAAAAATGGAGGGTAATATAAAATATCATGTAACAGTTGTTCTGTAGCAGCTTCCTCTAAGACTGAAACATTCTGTGATGGTTTGTATATGCTTGGCCCAGGGAGTGGCACTATTAGAAGGTGTGGCCCTTTTGGAGTAGGTGTGTCACTGTGGGTGTGGGCTATAAGACCCTCATCCAGCTGCCTGGAAGCCAGTATTCTGCTAGCTGCCTCCAGATGAAGACATAGAACTCTCAACTCCTCCTCCACCATGCATGCCTGCCTGGATGCTGTCATGTTCCTGCCTTGATGATAATGGACTGAACCTCTGAACCTGTAAGCCAGCCCCAATTAAATGTTGTCCTTTATAAGACTTGTATTGGGCATGATGTCTGTTCACAGCAGTAAAACCCTAACTAAGACACATTCCATCTTGCAGGAAACTCCTAAAACAGGAAGGTAGACAATCCAAAATATCTTCAGGAGTCCCTGAAACTGACCAGATTCACTAGCCCCCTCCCTGCCAAAGTAAACAATAAAAGCCAAGACTCATTCTCCAAGGAGTGGAGTTGAGGTGCAAAGAAGACTCTCAAACAAGATAAGTTGCAAAGATTCTCAGACAAGTAGCAAAGAAGACTTTGGGACCAGACCAGCTGCCAGGAAGCAAAAAGCAGCCAAGTTGCCAGGAAAAGGTTTAGACCAGGTCACTTGGAAAGTTATGATCTTCCAATCTATTGTGCTGCCTGCAAGCTGTGGACTGTGCTCTAGGTTCCCAACTTTGTGAGCTGTCACCCATGCTATGGAAGGCTTTGGTGATACAAGTGTCTTTGTCTCACTTCTGCTCCTGTAAGTAACCCCTCACCTATATTACTATAATAAACCCCAATAAAACTCATTGACTGATCAAGCTGAATTCTGACGGTATCTGTTCACATGGGAAATAAATGCTTAGTTTTAAGCAAAAGATCAAATTGATACAATTTATGCTGTAAAATAATGCTGTCTGCTGTGCCAACAATGACAAGAGCAGAAGCGAGAACTGTACTTATAAAGTTACTATAAATCTCCAGAGAAGAGACAATGCTGGCCTGGCTTGGGAGGCAGCTATGGAAGCCAAACAATTCAATTATGCTTTTAAGATCAGAGTTTACTGCTGGATTACACTTATGTGGGGGGGGGGGGGGGAGGGAGAGAGAGAGAGAGAGAGAGAGAGAGAGAGAGAGAGAAAACCAAGAGGATGGAGATGCGTGTAGCTCAGTTGTAAAACGCTTATCTAGAATGCACAAGGTCCTCAGTTAGCTCTCCAGTACTACAGAAACCCAGGAGTGATAACATATCCCTGTAAGCTCAGCACTTGGGAGCTGGAAACTGGAGGTTCAGAAGTTCAACGGTACTGTTAACTATCTGGCAAGTTTGAGGCCAGCCTGAAATTCACAAAGACTTGTCTCAAAAAGCAAAAAGGCTGTTGGCCAGAGGTACTAGAAAGATAAAGGAAAAGGTGCTGTTTTATTAAGCTGAGGGATGGCATATCACATACTTACATTACTATTCATAACAGTAGCAAAATTACAGTGATGAAGTAGCAACGAAATAATTCTATGGTTGAGGGTCAGCACAACATGAGGAAGGCGAGTAGCACTGTCTAACGGAAAGGCTAAATGCTTACAATGCACTGCAGTGTGCATCCTAATGGGGCCCCTCTTCCTACTCTAACCTAATGAACGGAACCCCTCACTTAGTCAAAAACAATCCTTCCAACTCATCGAAACCAGTTGATACGATCCTGCTCAGCTTGTATTTGTTTTCCCTCTGCTCCGAGTGTTCTTCATGTCCCTCTCAGGCTTAGACCTTTACTCAAATATCACCTTCTCAATGAGGCTTCATCTGCGCTTTCATAAACACGAACTGCCCTCTCTACCCACACCACATCATTCTTGCTTTGCTCTTTAACAATCACTTCCTTACAGGTTCTAGATATGTCATACTAATGTCTATCCTCCCCACAAGCTTTTAAATATTACAGAAGTAGAGGATTTTTATCAGTATTTTTTGCTACTGTATTACATGAGTCTAAGGCCTTTTCTGATACAGGTTGTTTCTTAATAAATATTGGATGAGATAAGAAAATAAATTTAAAGAAGGTAAAGTAAAAAAGCAAGTCAATAAAAATTTTGATACAACACTATACCTGAAATTGTATAAGAATAGGTCTGAAATTGATCATGGGGAATCAATATGGACCCTTTTTTAGGAAAGGGACAGGACCACTAGAACTTTGAAACACTAACTTTTCAAGTGCACATAGACTGAACTCAACAATACTGCATAAAGGATTAACCAGTGGAAAGTAGTTCCTATTCAAGGGCTTCAAAGAGTAGTTCTTCTGGTGATCTCCCTGAGAAAAAAAGCCTGAGAAAGCAAGCTGTCTACAGACAAGGAGAGCAGGGCACTGAGAGTGAGACGCAGGGACACACAGCAAGGACAGCATCAAAACAGACACAGACAAAATCTGTTACTGTAAGCTAGATACTTACAAAATACAGTCAGCTATTAAACACAATTCTATTCTATAAAATAAAACTACAATCTAAAGATGATTTTTTAATTTTTTTTATTGGTTATTTTATTCATTTACATTTCAAATGTTATCCCCTTTCCTGGTTTCCTTTCAGCAAACCCCCTATCCCGCCCCCCCTTGCTCCTGCTTCTATGAGGGTACTCTCCTACCCACCCACCTACTCCTACCTTACTGCCCTACCATTCCCCTACACTGGGGCATCGAGCCTTCACAGGACCAAGGGCCTCCCCTTCCACTGATGCCAGATAAGGCCATCCTCTGCTACATATGCAGCTGAAGCCATTGGTTTCTCCATGTGTATTCTTTGGATGGTAGTTTAGTCCCTGGGAGCTCTGGGGGCCTAAAGATGATATTTAAGAAACTGTCTAAAGTTACAGTTCTAATTTAAGTAGACAAATGTGACTGTGGCAAATCAGTCCCAAGGTAAAACCTCTTTCCTGATACAGCATGTTGCTTAAGTATTTTGCCCAAAATTTTTATCTTTCTGATAGTTTTTTCTTATCTTTAAACTGAGACTGCCTGACAGACTAACTCTGTGAACTGCACAATACTATCCAAATGTGAAAGGACAAATATGTTTCAGTCATAAGATGTTAATTTCAGTTTATCAAAGTTAGTTCTGACTTTGATTAGGAACAGGAAAATCAGAGATTAATGATGTAGTGGGGACAGATAATAAAGAGAAAACAAAACCCAGAAATACAAGGCCGTCTCAGCAAGCAATCTCCAGAGCAGGCGCTAATATGGCGGAAAAGTACTCTTTAAGATCAAATGCTGCGCCCTTGGGAGGCAGAGGCAGGTGGATTTCTGAGTTTGAGGCCAGCCTGGTCTACAGAGTGAGTTCCAGGACAGCCAGGGCTACACAGAGAAACCCTGTCTTGAAAAACAAAAAAAACAAAAAACAAAAAGATCGGATGCTGGAAACAGAAGAGAAACCGTGTAAGCACTTCTAGCTTACGGTTTACCTATAAAAAAATAGTGAAGCTACAAAATTCAATGTGCTTGAAGTGCCACCGTGTGGTTAGAAATAGTAAAACAAGCAAGCAGGATTTAAATGCTAACAGGAAACTGCTTCAGTTTGCAGTTATCACTTGTGTTCAGCCAACACTGGATGCTCCTTTGGAGGACACTCTTTTTAAATGCTGAGTTATAGCATTTATTATTATTATTATTTATTATTTATTATTATTTATTATTAGTTATAGCATTGTAGTTATTATCTACAGGTACTATGACTTACGCTTAGGATGATTATTCCTTGTGCTCAAACAATTATTGATACAGTCGTTATGATAACCCATAAATAAGCATATTAAATTGATCTTGGGGCCTTGAAGGACCAAAACAAGTCACAGTTTGGGTTCCAAGACAGCTAACTGAAGAGTGTAGTTGTGTATGGAAGGGAGAAAGACAACTAAGCCATAAGTGTGACCCAAATTTGCAGTGTGTTAGATCCACGGTAGTATGTAATAAATAAGTATATCTGTGAAGTGAACTTTTGAAATCAGACACATACACTATACTAAATAGTCTAACAGTACATACAAAAAAGTTATAATAAAGAACAGCTCACCTGTACTGTTTCAATCAGACTTGCTGAATAAAAAGGCATGGCCACCATGTATGTTAGGCTGCAGAAATTAAAGCAAACTGTATCAGCACAACAAAATAAGATGATTAAAATAAGACTGTAAGATGTTTCAATGTGTTCACCTAAATTTACATTCAAACCTAAAGTGATCTTTTTAAATTTTCAATCATACTTTGGAACTAGTGATATTAACTCAGAACACTGAAACAGAGTACTTTATTGAACAGAGATGGAAATATAAAAGTAACAATAATACAAAGACAATTTTCCTAAAAAACAAACAAACAAACTCCTAGATTGTACCTTAGCAGAATGTAGGTTCATTTATGATTAACTGTTTGGACATCTACTTGCACATAACTAGTACCCTCTGAAATATGTTTCTGAGCCTTTGGATGGACAACTGTATCACAGACTAGAGTTTAGTGATATCCAGAAAGGAATGCTTTATGTTACTACCTACTATGATTTTCTACTTCTACATTTCTCATCAGCAGAACTAAGCCAGCCTACAACTATAAGTCAAGTTCCCTTTTACTATGAAAAAATAATGTTGCACGGCTTTCCAAAGCTGTTTCTTTATCAGTATAGCTACATTACAACTTTGCAAGTCTGCAAAGCATAGTTACTTAATATCTTTTCATGGGTGGGACTAACCTAACCAGCATCCTTAGGGGCCAGGCCCTGGTAAGTACTCACCTCCAAGGTTAATGGAACACAGTAAGTAATTAAGTGCTGGACTGTCCCAGAGGGAGCCAGTTAGAGTAATTTCTAATTCACAGAAATTTCTAATTCTTCAGATAAACAGAGTAAGCTTTTAATCTGTAAAAATAGTTACTGAAGTAAAAATCACTTAGGTGCCTTTACACTGCACTGTAATGACTATCGTTTTGAGCTTACTCTTCACCAAATACATTCATATCTCTGATGAATAAGACACAGGTTTAGCATCCCTTTTATCAGAAATGCTCAAGATCAGATGTGTTTCAGATTTGGGGATATTTGCATATAAGTAACTAGATATCTTGGGACAGGACCCAAGTCTAGACACAAAATTAATTTGTGTTATACTTTTACACACAAAGGCTGTGTGTTTTTGCATAGTGTGGCTATATTCTGACACCTCATCCCTTATTAATAGGATGAAGATAAAGAAATTCAAGACATGTGACATGTCATGTTGGTATTCAAACGCTTCAGAATTTAATGTATTTTGGATTTCAGATGTTTAGCTTCTTCATGTTCAACCCATAGTAGTAATTTTTTTTTTTTAACCTAGGTTAAAGGACTGGGGAAATCACGGCTTGGTGAAGTGCTTGCCATGCAAGCATGAAGACCCAAGTATGATCCACCGCACCCATGTATAAAGCCAGGCATAATAGTATGCATTTGTAATATCAGTGCTGAGTACGTAGAAACAGGTAGATTGATGGGGCTTGCTGGCTGCTCTGTTTAGTCAGTAACCGCAGACAGCACTCCAACTGATGGCCTAATACCAAGGAATCATCTCTAAAACATTTATGTATAAGTAACAACATATGAACTGACAAGGTTGTATTTATATATTTAGAAACACACACGTACACCCAGTAACAAGTAAGGGGAAAAGGCAATGGATTTGAACAAGAGCAAGGTGGGAGTTACATGAGAAGTGTTGGAGAAAAGAGAAAGGGGAAATGATGTCATTATATTATAATCTTAAAAACAGAACCAGGAGCTGGGCAGTGAAGGTACACGCCACTTGGTACAAACCCAGCACTTGGGAGGCAGAGGCAGGTGGAGTTCAAGGCCAGCCTGGAATAGAGATTGAGTTCCAGGACAGCCAGAACTACACAAGGGAACACAAGGGGCATGGGGGAGGGTCTCTGTGAGAGGGAGTGGAGGGGGCAGTACTTGATGGAAATAAATTTTGAAAAAAAATGTTGGTGGCTCCTAAGGACACTCTGGCCTCCACATGCACACAAGTGCACCCAAACACATGAAAATACACACATACCCATGCCAATCCTGAAAAAAGTACAAAAGTGTCTAAACCAAAAGAAAAGTTGAGCCACAACCCTTATCTTTCAAATGTCTAAGAATTATTTTGAGTAGCATATGTATTTCAGGATGAGGAGGAAGAAGATGAGGAGAAGGAGGAGGGAGAGAAGGAAGAAGAGGAAGAAGAGAAGGAGGGAGAGGAGGAGGAGAAGGAAGAGGAGGAAGAAGAAGAGGAAGAAGGGGAGGAGGAGGAAGAGGAGGAAGAAGAGGAAGAAGAAGAAGAGGGAGAAGAGGAAGAGGAGGAGAAAGAAGAAAAAGAGGAGGAAGAGGAGGAGGGGGATTCCATGTGTATTTCAAGGCTTTTCCCTAAGCCTTGGTATTACTTGTTCCTTAGAAATCTATTCCTACTACTCTAACTTCCTTCACTATAGTAGGCATAAAAACTTTTTTTTTCAGCTCTGACACTAAAAAAGCTAATAAAACTTTCTGGTAACAATGTCATTTTTAAAACTTACCATTTCAGGAGAAGGTGTTCACCTATTTGTTTAGGGTTCCATTTGTGTGAAACTTCCCTAAAATGTAAAATTGTAAACAAAACAAAAACTATGTTATTTAAAATATTTTGCTTTAATCTGTAGAATGGATCTTCCTTTCTAGACATACTTCTGACACTGGTAGTTCAAACAGAGAATCAGTGAGTGTCTGCTGACAGAAGCTGCAGGGGAAAGCTTGGACTGAGAGCATGAAGGCTACTACTATGTCAGTGTGACAGATGAGAAGACCCAGGAGACAAGCCTCCAGCCATGTCTGTGAGGAGGTTTCAAGATTGGGTAGATTCATGGGCTAGGATCCTAGACAATGAAAAGGGGAGTCAGCCGAGCACCAGCATGTACCTTCTGCTTACTAATACAGGACAGAGTAGTATTCTTTTATCAGAAATGCTCAGGACAGGATGTGTTCCACATATGCAGCCTTCTTTTCTCGATAAGAGTGGGGCTATTACCCGATCATGTGGCCCTGAGCCTTTGAAACCACTGTCTATTCCAATTTCCCTTCTTCATCACTTTCCCCATAGCTCACTGTCTACACTTCCAGTGTTGTTCACCTATGGTCCTGAAATTGAACTGTAGCCAGAAACTGAACCACAAATGTTATCATTGCAGGCACTGAATTTTTACCACACTACTAAACTGAATGCCCTGCATTTTGCCAAATTTTTTATAGAACTCTGTGTTTAGGGTGGGAAGCCTCAAAAAAAAAAAAAGAGTTGGCACATCTGTACTTTCTGACACACCCTATGACATAAAAAGCACTAACAGAGATTAAAGTTAGCCAAGCATAGATGTTCAATTTTTAAAATATAAGTCAGTAAAACTTAGCTGGCTGCTAACCTTTAGCAAAGCTCCATTAAAGGAATTCTGAGACTACACAGTTGTTTGAAAGCAACACATTGGAAAAAGCTTACTCTTAGCTTCTTGCCTTTGTTTCTTTTCCTTACAAAGATTAAATCCCAACACTGAATACATGTGCAATACTAGTGTTTAGACCTTCAACTAACTCCCTTTCTTAACATTCAAGATAATGTATCCTTTAGATAAATAAACCAGAACTATTCAAAGTCTTTAACACTATCCATGAGTTCATGCAGAAAAATATACTACAGAAAATTGGTCCTGCCAAAGAGCAGCCAACAAATTACAATAGCTCACTACCATCTATAAGCATCTCTAACATATCTTGTCTGTGAGTGCCTTGTTGCCAACAGCCATAACTGTAGGACACTTACAGTACCAGTCTTCTCAGGGCTTTCTACAAGTCCAGTGCTGTCTTTCCTGCAACAAGTAATGGCTGAATTTGACCCACAGAAAAGAAACTCAGTTTCCCTAAGTTTATCTACTTTTTCTCTCCTAGTATATCTACAACCAAAGTTTACAACCTCTGGTTCTAGAATCTATGTCATGAACCTTCCCACTAGTTTTGTTGAGGGTATCACTAACTCTACCCCTGTTACTGCTGTCACCACCCCCACACTCCACATATAGTACAGACATGAAGACACACAAGTAGTCCAGGAACTATCCTTGTCACATTTCAGAACTTGTGATCTACATTTCTCCATTAGTTGAATTTCATTGAGTCTCATATTCTGAATGATATTTTATGCCCCAATACTCAAAGCTATGTCTATAGTTAAATAACTTCTGTGGCATCCTGATCTGCAGTTCCAGCCACGTTCTAGAAATGCCCCCCTGTGGTGGTATGAGAACAGCCCCCACAGCTGACAGATTTGAGGATTAGGAGGTGTGGTATCTATCTGATGTAAGCTCTCAGCTACAGCTACAGCTACAGCACCATGCCTATCTGATGTAAGCTCTCAGCTACAGCTACAGCTACAGCTACAGCACCACGCCTATCTGACTCTAGCAATGCTCTTGCCATGATGGTCATCATCTCTACTATCCTCTGGAACTGTGAGCTCCAAATCAAATGCTTTCTTTAATAAGCTACCTTGGTCATGTTGTCTCTTCACAGTAACATAAAAGTAACTAAGATACCCCTACAGGTCTGGCAAAAATCTCAAACTCCATTTATTGAAAGTTAAATTCCTTAACTACTTCTCTAACTTATTCTTAATGGATTCTCCACCTTGATTAGCATTTATACTTGAAAAACAAAATCTCAGCCACTGCTGGCAACTCTCTTCCTAATACTCCCATTTCCAATCTAACAGCAAACTACCATCAATTATACTTAGCATGCCTTCCTAATTCTGCACTTCTGTTTTGTTCCATAGCTCAGAATTGCCCCAGCGTAGTTAAGATTAATATATTAGCTTTCTATAAGCCAGTCTGAACCAATACTCTTTACACTACCTCTTAGGAATACTCTCATTCTTATCAGAAAACAGATGTTTGATTCCAGGCCCACAGAGAATAAACCATTGCAAAGTCACGATGGTGGAGGGAGGGAGATTTGAGTTGGATATGTCCCAGATACTTTATATATACAAAATGACTCAAGAATAAATAAAAAAATATTTAAAAAGAAGAGAGAGAGATGAGCTCATCCAAGCTTCTTCTCATTTCCAAGCACAAGCTGCTGCTTTTGTCGCCGAGACTGTGGAAGGGATCTCTGTTGAGACCAGGTGTTGCCACATTTTCTTGGAAGGAAAGCCTTTCCTGCCCAGTCAATTCTTACTCATAATTCTTATCCCAATTTTCAGTTACTTTTGAAATGCTTACCAATAACTCCAGGTAAGCATCCCTGGGAATCTGAAGGGGGTTATTTAGTTACAGCACAAACCACACTATTTTTTCTAAGCAAATGAGCTACTTAAAGGAGTTGTCCCACACCTGCTTCTCACTTAGCTGGCACAGCTGCACACAGCAGCAGGAATGAAAGGCCTGTCTCAACAGACAGTAGGACAGAGAGCACCCTTATACACACACTTACAGCAAGGTGTAATAAAGAAACTTTACTGTCCTCCCTTCTCTGCGCTATTTCAGACAAGCTTTCAGATTCAAGATATTAGCTTCCATATTTGATAAAAATTTAATATAAAACTAATATGAAAAACTAGGCTACACATGTACCTCGGTAAAGGTGTGAATTCACTAATTATGCCTTCTGCTCCAAGTGTGACTCCCTGAACAATAAATGTGCTTCCCATTCCTTTCCACAGGGCTCTTGGTCCCTAAAATCAAAACAGAAACAATAAAAATAGTTCTGTTAATGCCTAAATATAAAACACAGAAGTTCTTAATGAAAACACAGAAGGTTTGCTGATATTTCCTAATAAGGCATTACTCTTACATAAATCTTACAGGACTGTAACGACCTGGGTTTCTACCACTTTGTTCTTGGTCTCTTGAGGCACTCTCAAATAACCCAGGATGGCCTAGGTAGCTAAGACTCACCTTGAACTCTTGATCCTCCTTCCTCAACCTCCCAAGTCCCAGGATCCCAAGGCCTATACCAGTCCAGTAGCCTCGATTGCTCATGTTTCATGGTAGCCTAGTTTAGACTAAGATGAACTAACATATCCATTTAACTAAGTACTCCAAAATGATTGGCTAGCTTATCTGAAAACCTCAGGTAGCTATATTCAGCCCCTACAAGTCCAGCTGTTTACATGACCTACAGGTATCCTAGATTTCATATTTCCCCAGCTTCACTCCATCATAGCCATTAACCCCATTTCTTTTCCTTCTTTGTTGGAGTTCCTATTTTCCTCAACAGCTACTTCACGATACTTGTGCCTAAATCATGCATTTCTCATTCTCCCTGTGTAAACAATCAAAGTTCTGTACATTCTCAGGCTCTGGTAAATCTACTACTTTTCTCACCCTTAACACTTCAAGAGTTCACTGTTTCTGCTACAGTAACACCATGGTGTTGCTACTATCATTACTTATCTATGTTATAAGTGAATGAGAAAATAAAATAGCAACATTGTAAAATTAAAAGAAGCATTATAGTATCAGGAGAGAAATGTATCTCGTTTTCATCCTAGTCCCGCAAAAGCTTTTAACTTCCATTCTCCAGAGACAACTCAGCATATAATAATAGAGTATGTGTCTGCATGGAAAGATATACAATTTTTCATTTGTTCATTTTTAACAGATGCACCTTGAACCATAAAAAAACAATCCAGGGACCATTTCCTATCAGTACACACAGAGATAGCCTCTTATTTGTAAAGGCCACCTGGTGTTTTGCCACCTAAATATACCATTGTTACTTTACTGGTACCACTGCTAGGTAGGGTAATTTCTACCCTCATTTATTTTTTCACCTCTCTCTCCTCCCCCCCCCCAACCTTTTTCTCTCTCTGTTGGCTTTTGAGAGACAAGGTTTTTCTGTGTAGTCCTGGCTATCCTAGAAATCACTCTATAGACCAGGCTGGCCCTGAACTCAGATATCTACCTGCCTCTGCTTCCCCTCCAGAGTGCTGGCATTAAAGAAAAGTGTCACTCCTGCCCAGCTATTTTGGCTCATTATTATATGAAATTCTATAATATGATATCCTTGCATATACATTTTTACATATGATCACAAACATTTATGTGGAAAAGTTCTTAGAAGTCAAACATTCAAATTTTAAATTTTAACTAGGTAGTGGCTTATGCCTTTAATCCTAGAACTAGGAAGGCAGCGGCAAGCGATCTCTGAGTTAGAGACAGCCTGGTCTACAGAGCAAGTTCCAAGACTGCCAGGATACACAAAGAAACCCTCAAAAAAAAAAATTAAATTCTGATGCACACACTCTGTCTATTCACCATGTACTTGTCACTCAAACACAGTGACATACTCTAATACAGTTCTTCATGCTGTGCTGACCCACAATGGTAGCATTACTCTCATTGCTACTTCAAAACTATAATTTTGCCTTTTTTTCTTTTGTATTATCTGATATGCAGGATATCTGCTATGTGACCCCTACAAAAGGATTATTGGACACCTCCCCAGGGCTCATGACCCACAGGTTGAGAATCACTACTGTAGCACATCTTCAGTGATTCTCTTGTAGCTCTTAGGATAAAGTGCACAGACCACAGAAGGCCCTTTATGATGCTGCTTACTTCTCTGGCTATTTGTCATCCTCCTCTTAACCTCAACTTCTGCTACAAGCTTCTAATAAATTACATTATATCTAGTCCCCAAATTATAACCACTCTTTTACTTCTGCCTTTGAACATCAACATACAAAACCATTACCTCAGCCTTAAGCAGACTTTCTGACAACTCTCTTTTCAACCACTTTGCCACATCATAGCCTGGGTGCAAGCTCAGCTGTGATAGTGAACCGTCACTGTAAACAGATTAGGAATGCATACCTAAGGAGGAAGACCCACCCTGAAGATTGGCAGCATCATCGTGTCTTTAGCAACAGAGCTTCCCAACTACAGACTCAGTGTGATCAATTGAGCTCAGGCCTCCATGTCTTCACTGTCATAGTGTTTCACATCAAAATAACCCCTTCCTTCCTTAGATGTTGTCAAGTATTTTGTTACAACCCTGAGAAAGCTAACAAGCACATAAGTACGATGTGTACCTCTTTCCTATCTACTGATAAGTACTGTAAAGCCTCAGGCTGAACCACGCACTGGACTACAAGCCTCTGCTGACACTCTCGTCTCTATGACTAGATTGTAAATCTCTTGATTGCATTTACCTTGCCTGCTGCTATTAAAGTCTTGGAACTTAGCACAGTTCTTTGCAAGTTCACTGAATTAAGAGAAGTTCTGAAAGACTCAAAGGAGAATTCTTACTTTAATGCTTTACAATTTAAATATATAGCATTAATAGACTAGAATAGATTCTCACCTGAGTTTTGTTGAAGCTATACATAATGTTGATAATTGAAAATGGAGTGAGATGGTAATGTCGAGCATGGTAATTGACCTGTAAAAATACACAATATTTTTCTTTTGTCAAGAAATAATAAGGCTACAAAAATTTCAAGTTCAGCATAAATAACAGTTAAGTTCTAAAGTCAAATAAGCATTTCAAACAAACATTAAGTGCTGTGCATATGGTGATATAAATGTAATATGTAGACTACTACATAAAATACTCAGTAATGAAAACTGTAAAGAGGATTTTGCTGTTTGAGAAGTGGAGTTTTAAGCTCTGGAATTAAATCTCATACTCATACTCATTTGACCAACCATTTTTTAAACTCTAGCTTAGGATCAATGGATGAATTATAAACCAGCCAAACATGTCAAAATTATGTATACTGGATTATGATGATAGATACAAATGAATTTTACTGTTCTAGAACATCTACAACTGCCAATACTATTTAGGTAATTAGTTTTCTATACATTCTTACTTTTTTCAGTGACAAGTACAAACATACTAATTTGTACTGATTTATATTGTCTTATGTGAGAAAATTACAAAGAATTTAAGTTATTCGACAGCACCTGCTACAATGCAGGCCAATTTCTGTTGAGAGCTCCATTACTTTACCAGAGACCTGGCAAGTTCAAAATATTCTCTTAGTTTTCCTCAGGCACCATTTGCCTTTTCTACTGTTGATAACATGCTATGAGTATAAAAGCAATGGTGAATAATCAAGGCAGAAGTATCAGTTGTATTTTTTCTACTATATTCTTCACCATAGATAATCACAGGAAGGAAAAACAATCTTAGTTTAAGAGTATCCTTGGTAGCCAGGCAGTGGTGGTGCACGCCTTTAATCCCAGCACTTGGGAGGCAGAGGCAGGTGGATTTCTGAGTTTGAGGCCGGCCTGGTCTACAGTGTGAGTTCCAGGACAGCCAGGGCTATACATAGAGAAACTCTGTCTTGAAAAACAAAAAACAAAAAAAAAAAAAAAATCCTAATCTATAGGTACAGATCACCTTTCTAATTAACATTTTGTGTTCCATAAGGAAGATGGTTGTCATGAGGTAAAATTCTTACATGATGTATTTGCAACCTACTTAGATACTTTTCTTTTTATCACAGAACATCAGTTTTTTTTTTCTTTTTAAAAATACCTTGTCAACATATTACTTTCATACAAACTACTACTTTCATACCTGAGATCCATCTTCGCCTTGCAGTACTGATACTTGAACATAGAGTCTATTATATGCTCAGCCATTCACCTACATACTCAGACCAAATGGGTGCTTGTAAGTTAACAAAATAAGCTTGTTTTTTTGTTGTTTTTTGTTTTTTTTAAAAAAAAGGAAAAAGAAAGGGGGCAGGCCTGGAGAGATGGCTCAGCAGTTACGAGCACTGGCTGCTCTTCTAGAGGTTCCAAGTTCAATTCCCAGCAACTAAATTGTGGCTCACAACTATAAAGGGATCTGACGCCCTCTTCTGGTGTGCAGGTGTATATTCAGAGAGAACACTCATATACATATAAAAAAAGAAACAAAGAAAAAAGAAACAGAACATTCTTTGGGTGCTTGTTATCAACTTTTCTCCAAGTACAAATCAGAAACACCTTAAAAAGATGTAAAACATTGACTCTGGCCAAGGAACACATAGGATAAACTTTAAAAACTTGACATAGCCAAGGGCTTTCTGAAAAGGCCTCCAATAACTCAGGAATAGAAATATGAATTGACAAATAGGACAGCATAAATTAAAAAGCTTCTGTTCAGCAAAGTAAACAAAGCTTACAGAACGTGAGACATCTGACGAGAAATCGACTATCCAGAACATATACGGAACTAAAAAGATTAAACACCAAAACTTCCATAATCCAATCAATAAGCAGGCAAAAAAATGAAGTTTTCTAAGGAAAAAAATACAAATGGCCAAAAAATTTCAAGAAAAAAGATTCACTATATATCAGAGAAATAGAAATCGAACCATACCTAGATTCCATCTCAGCCCTATTAGAGCTGCTCTAACCAAGGAAACCAACAGAACAAGTGCTGACGACTGTGAGGGAAGGAACTCATTCAGTGTAGCTGCTGGGGGAAGCACTACAGAGGTCCTTGTGAAAACTTAAACCAGAACTACTGTACACACACACACACACACACTCACACATTCACACACACACACATACACACACCACACACATCACAGATACACCACACACTCACACACACACCACACACTCACACACTCACACACTCACACACTCACACATACAATTATGCAACCACACACAAAAAAATACATTGAAAGGAACAAAGAGATCTGAGTCAGCAAAATAAGCCAGAACCAGACAAATAATATATATTTTCTCATCTACGGATATAGAGTTTTTTGAAAATTAAAGAAATAATAAGAAAATAAAGGCCATGAAAGCAGGAAGTTCACTATTTGGGAGTAAAAAAGAGACCAGTAGAAGGGGGAGGAAGGACAAGGGAAGGGAACTGAGACAAGAAAAAAAAAAGGACATGATAGACATGTATGAAAATGTTATATATTATATATTTTGTATAATTAATACATTTTAATAAAATGTTTTAAAAAGCTTTTGTGGAAATGTACATCTCATTAAGAATATACACTGGTTACAGACTTCTTGTGAGCTAAGTGGTTTTCTCAATGGGGATGAATTTTGGTATGCTATGATTCAGTGTTTTACAACCTGGGCATGTAAGTCAGTGAATCAACGTTTTTCAAATAGACATTCATCTGTGGATATAAATTATAATGTATTTAGATGCATTATAAATTAATGGGGATCCTTTTAACTTAAGAGTTTTTAAACAATGAGGTTGCTTCAGATTTGACACTGCATGTAATCCTTAAGAGACCACCACTTAGTAAGCTTCAGTGTTAACTTCAGAAGGCACAGTGTCTAAAAAGAATAAGAATACTCTTATTTTCAAGGACATCATGTACAGGAGGCTGAATATTCTTGTTTCTTTTAAATCAACATTCTATATCAGACTGACTGAGAGAACAGATGTGAGAAACTGGTTCCTGTTGCTCCAGATAGTAAAGATATTTTTAAAGAACACAAATGTTGTAAAGATTATTTGCTAATATCTGATGAGTGCATTATTATTTTAACAAACTAAATAATTTTTAATATCAGTTTTCATTTCTGAAATCATGACTCCTGACAGACATGACCCAGATAAACAAAGCATCTTCAGCATCCTGCTAAAAAAAACTTTTAAGATTTTGAAGAGAATACTTTAAGAATACAAAGTTTGAGAACTGATATTTTATACATTTATACATTTTCATGTCATTTTATCAGAATTCTGCATTTCTAATTAGAATTCGGCTTGTCTCAGAAGTCAAAGAAATTACATTTACCTGACATTGGCGGCGTAAAACAATGCAAGGGTGGGCCAGAACATTTTCTGTAAAGAGACTGTACAGAAATAATTTATATGTGAGTATATATGTGTGTGTGTGTGTGTGTGTGTATACGTATAGACATATATATGTATTATATATGTATAGACATATATGTATACAATATGTCCATATACAGATTATATTCATCACATATATATATCTGAAGTTATTCTTACATTTTCACAATAACAAGGATTTAATTCCTATATATCTGCAAATAATACCAACAATAAATTTAATATAAATAAAATCTAGATCCACAAGTTTGTAAATATGTAATATTATCTATAGTACAAAGATAAAAATATTATCTGTGTTTTCAACATGAGAAATGCTACATCATTTAACTTGCCTTTTTAAAAATGTCCTATGAACAAAATTCTCATATGAAGAGTCATTTGCTTTTCAATATCCTCATTTTAGAAATTCTTATTTTGTTGTACTTGGTACTTAAGACATAGGATTTTTAATGACCATGTTAAATACTACTTTATGCATTAAATATTTTTTTAATATGTTCCCTGCAAAATAATTATAGCTATGGGTTTAAGCTCTAAAAGTAACATATGCATTCATATATATATATATATATATATATATATATATTAACATTATATAAAATGGTATAAAGCTTTATGCATAAAGAATTAGGCTAAGAAGATTAGCAGAATGAAAAAATATAAATTTTTATCTATGCTGACACTAATATCACTCAAGTTTTAATATGCAAATAAGGTCATTTTATTGGTCAAGATATTTAAAATGATGAAGGCCATTCTGGTATGAAGGATAAACAATGCAAAAGTCCAATATTTGTGAAATTTTTATTCATAATAACATAAATAAGATTGATAAATGTTCTTAGCTATAATGACCACTATAAATACTAACAAAATCGAAAACGGAGATTGACCATCAAATGGTAACTAAAAACAAAAATCCTGCCTCTATGCTGCAAAACTACCCAGATAGGACTGCAATGTTCAGGGAAACCATTCATCATGTTATCACTCTGAGAAGGAAGACTACATTCTAGTCTATTCTGATAGACTAATGAAAGTAATTATCATATTCATTACAAAATTACTTTGTGTTTATGAAATGGAATGACTGGCTTCTATCTCTATTAAAAAAATCAAGCTATAGATTCTAAATAATAAATTTCTACAAGGTAAGTATATAATCTGTCAATAAAACCTAAAGGAAGAAATATTAATCATTAATATTATAATTAAGGGGAAAACTCAAATAAAAAAATCTTAAGATTACCTTGCAAGTCCAATACCAAATCCAGCAAATCTGTTCAACTGTTCTAAAATAAAAAGAATAAGATTACTCATAACCAATATTATATTTACTGTGATCACCAAGGTATTACAGTAATATGCTGTTCATGTAAACCTCAGATTCTGATATGGAATAGGGAGTCAGTTTAAAGAGTGAATGACTCTGGTTGGGCGTATGGCAAATTCCAAGAGTGTGGCTGTCTAAAGGAGCAACTGTTCTTTCATTCCAACGGACTGTTGTCACAAGGGCTTGCTATCTGGGACAGCTCTAAGTTGTGACTGTTTACAAAAAAAAAAATCTTGAAATTATTATCAAAGAAAACTATCTTAAAAAGTGCTAAAAAACTATGTAAGGATTATGTCAAATTAGTATTCAGACAGAACCTAAGCATTGCCAGTTTTAATTTCTGATTACAATCATTCAAAAATTTTCTATGGATGGTCATACTGCATCACTAAGGAACTGCCTGCCTATGCTGTACAATTAGTCATCTACTATTACCGAAGGACTATAGTTGCATGTAAAATACCTCAAAATAGTAAACCTGAGAGTAGTTAAATGTTATCAATATAGGTTAAGCACAGCTTCTCCCTACAACCTTAAGCTTTAAATAGTTAAGAACAGCTGTTTAATACAGTGTGGTAGGCCCCAGCTACATGCTGTGCTCCCTTCTATAGCATTGCTGGAAAACTAATGCTGAAAACTCCTACCTACATGTCAAAACAGAAGCGTCTAACCTAAGGTATCCAAAATCCTAATGGTAATCTACCCAGTGGAGTAGACACTAAATATCAATATTCTCAAGAGGCCATTCTCTCTTCCCTGTCCTTTCAAATGAAGCAATGGTCCTTTATGATGAGAATACTCAAAGAATAGGACATGTAAGCATGCTCCTGGAGAAAGCTACCTGCTTCACCTTGAAAGATATGCAAGCTAGAAAGACAGCTTTTGTCATGTTGAAGCACTTTCTTTTATGTGTTTATACTAAAGAAAGTGTGACATTATAGGAAAGCTTAATGCTGTTAATTATGGGAAGCTCTCCTTGCTGGCAAACTCATAGTCACTCACTTGCTAACAGCTTCAAAATAAACGGGTTGTGTTTCCTCTCTTTGGAACTATCAAGATGTAATTTAAGAAAAGATAAAAAACTTTACTGCCTAAGATGGTAACTTTATAGCAATTATACCTGTGTTTTAAATCATTTCATTTATAGCTTCACTCAGAAAAGAGTTCTCTCTCCAGCATTATTCTGGGACCAGAATGAGACTATGAACCAAACAAGATAACCGCCAAAAGCTTAGTTGAGTGACTTAGATTAGTGACACGGGATGACACACTGACCCTCCTTTACCTCTTTCTTCCTATACTTACTAATAATTAGGATCTTCCAGTTGAACCACACATTTCTGAACTTCCAAGTAAAAACTGAGGTAGGAGTACCACGATTATGTATAGAATGTTTAATACTTAATGGTACAATTTGTTATTCCCAGAAAATAGGCATTTTAAGAAAACATATTTTAAACATATAGTTCATGCAGTGTTGCAACTGAAGCTCTATGACATTCCATAACGAGTAACTGCTTACAAAGTCAAGTTATATCAGTGTTTCTAACTCTCAAGTGGAGGTTTTAGGTCAGAAGAGAAAACTTCACAGAGGTGTGGATTTGGGATCAAAAACCTGAACTCGCATGGTGAAATGGATAAGTGAAGGAAAAGATTAATTATCCTACTGTGCATGTTTACATTATTGTTATTCATTTTATTTAGCCCTCATAAAAATAACCTGTCACACGACGAGTCTTAAAGAGATGAAAAACGAGGAATGGGGGCAGAGGGGGGGATGGATAAATTTATGATCGGTAGGGCCAAGCGTCAACCCCAATCTGACTACACTAAAAAGCGTCTTTCCAAAACACTGCTGAGTCAATTAACTAAATCATGAAAATCCACCTGCCAAACTAATTCTGACAACAATCAATAATCTCTTTCTTTCCTGCTTCAGGCCATCAGTGGTAACGTTCCTGGACTAAACTCTCCTACCCATGCACCCTAGGCTATGCAGATGTCACCTAGTGCGGTGATTCCCAGCACAAATCGCGTGCGGAGGAAGCTCACTTAAGGGCAGAGGACGAAAGGAGGGCAGAGGGTGTGGTTGCGGGTGCAAGGTCCAAGGCGGGCCTTGCGCGCGCTTCCGGAGTCCGCCGGCCCACCCGCCCGGCCGCGTCCTGCACCCCTCACCGCTGCTCGGTCCCGGCCGCGGGCCGTCGCCGCCGCCGGGAAAGGGCTCCTCCGCGGGGCCCTCGAGCGTCGGGGGCGCGGACGGCACGCCGTAGGACGGGCTCTTCTCTCCCCAGTGTAGGTTGCGGCTGCCCGGGATGTCCGGGGGCGTTGTCACCCAGTGGCCCAGTTCCGTCCCTGAACCGAAGGCGCGAGCATGGAAGGGGCCGCCGAAAGCCGGATCGTCCCGCACGCCTCCCCGGTAGCCCAGGCCGTCGAAGCCCTCAGGGCGCCGCGGATGCATCTCGGACGGGCGGACGAGGACGAGAGAGGCCGGCCCGCGGAGCACGGGCCTCCACCGCGTCCCCGCCACTGCCGCTGCGCGTCTGGAGACTGACAACCGGAAGTCACGGCTAGAACCCGGAAGTCCTAGGAGCACGTGACTCTGCCTAGATGCACTTCTTCCTAAGTCCGTTGCTAGGGAGACGCGGCTTAGGATGGAAAGGAAGGGATGCGTATTGGGCCTGATCCCAGGAGATGCAAGGTGTGTCCTCTGCTAGCATGAATGCTCGGAGCGGGGCGGCAGCCACAGATGACCTCGGCCTGTTGCAACGTGCTGACTCCCTTCACACAGGTGCTCACCCTTCCCATGGGAACCCTGTGTAAGGGCAAGAGTAGCCTTCAGTCTAGTTTTGTCCCCGACTGTGTGGGCCACCACAGCAGGCATCAGCAAAGTTCAAATCAAAAATAGCCTCATGTCTGAATACATACTGCCCTCAACGACACAGGAATCAAATGTTTAACTTTTCTAAGGCAATTATAAACAGTTTTCTTTTTTCTGATGTATCAACTTGGGTAACTGAGATCACCGCGTTGTCCCTAAACACCCCCACACCTATTACGACTTCTGTTGATTCCCCCCACTACCTGTTTTTATTAGTTTCTTGAGGTCTTGAGGCTGTGTGGCTCTCGTTAGATCTGACTGAGTTTTGCATGGCTTCTTCCTGAGCTTTCTTCCCAACTGAACGCTAGAATCTAAGGACGTTCAGAAGAGAACTCTGACGTATTCCCTTCAAAAGCCATAAACCTTCCTTTAAAGGGATAATCAACATTTTGGGCAGCTTGACATTTCTTGGATTAGGTTATGCTGTGCCTTGGCAAAATGTAGGAAGTCGCTTGATCTAGTATTCCTTTTGTGCTAATATCAAAGCACTGCTAGACATGGCAATAAAAGAATTTCTTTTCCCGAACTTGGCTCTCGGGCCCAGAAGTTTCTGTATGTTTGATGGTGTGTTTCAAGGAGTATAAGGAGAAGAATGGAGAGAGAGTTTTAATATAAAAATGTTGCACTTTACTTTACTTCCTTGAAAGTGGGGAGAGAATGAATTATACCTCAGGAGCTAGATGAGGGGGAAACAAAACCATAGAAATCATTACTCTTAAAGTAGTTTTAATGCACTATATTCGTCCTTATTTTTTAAAAAATGAAGTCCCTGAAGGCTGGATGCCCCAGTGTGGGGTAATGCAAGGGCAAGGAGCAGGAGTGGGTGAGTGGGTGAGTGGGTGGGTGAGTGGGTGGGTGGGTGGGTGGGGGCACACCCTCATAAAAGCAGGAGGAGGGATGGAATGGAGGCTTCTGGGGGGGATAGAGAAAGGGATAACATCTGAAATGTGAATAAAATACAAAAATAAAAATTTGGAAGAGACTATTTGGTTATTTTTATTCAGTGAACTGGAAGACTTTCTAATCCAAGGGCAGATCTAAAAGCCCTTTAAGGAATTGAAAAAAATATAATTAATTTAACTGTAAGTTTTACACTTGAAAAATTAAATACAGTTGTAACCAACATGAAAAGATAAATAACAAACTGGAAAGTTTATATTTTAGAATAATTTAGACAATGAAGCATTCATTACTCTATAGAGAGCTTTTGCCAGTGAATGACACTAAATCAGTATAAATACGATCAAAGGATATAAAGAGACTATTTAAAAAGGAAATGGGTGAATAGTCGCATAAAATATGTCTTACAGGCATGAAAATATTTTATATGAACAGTCACCTTTCATTTGTTAAAGTGGCAACCTTGGCCAGGCATGGTGGCTCTGCACTTAGGAGGCTGGACAGGGGAATTGCCAGGAGTTCCTAGCCACCCCAGATTACAAGGTAAAACCCAATCTTAGACCAAAACAAAACATTAAATGTCAGTCTTTATGCAAAAATGCACAGTGTTGTTCCAGGTGAGAAAAGGAGTATCCCTCACACAAGGAGTGATTATAAAAATATAGACTTTTTTTTTTTTTTAGTGAGAGCAGTGTAGTAATTTTTGTCTTTTAAACTCTTAAATTGTAGGAACTAAATAAACCATCTGTGCCCTATAGACAGGTAGAGCTTATACACTATTCATGTGCTTATGACATACTTGCCAACAATAAGAAAAGCTGCAGAGCTATAAATAACAAGTCATTGTTAACTTACTAATCATTCAATGAGTCAATACAGATCATTAATTAAGCATATGGCTCATCTGTCTTAGGACAGATACAGGTTTTTTGCATATGATGTGATAGGCATGTTCGTGTATGTAGACATATTTGCACAAGCATATGGAGGTCCAGAGTTGAAGTTGGCTGTCTTGCTCAATTGATATCCACCTTATTTATTGACATATGGCCTCTTACTAAATAAAGCTGGAGCTTGCCAATTGCAGATACTCTAGCCAGCCATCTAGCCCCAGAAATACCACGCCTCTGCCTGCTGAGTGCTGAGGTGGCAGGAAGCCTCCTCGCCTACCTGGGCTTTATTTGAGCACCAGCAACCCGAACTCCTGCCTTGAGTCTTGCACAGCAAGTGCTTTCTCCCATGAGTCACCTCCATGCCCCCGCACCCCCCTCCAGATACTGTTTCATGAAACTGGGATATAGTGTTAAATATGCTAGCCTTACCTTTAAAGAGACAAACCTCAGGTGTTATACACACGCATACACAAAGTGTCGAATAATGGAGCAAACTTAAGGTAATGTCAAATGATACTTTTTTTTTTAAAGAGCACTAATGTAGCCTTTATAGATTAGTTGTACTAGAAAGTAGTCCCCTCTGAAGAACTGGCCTTTGAACTGGGGGTTGAATGAAGCAAAGGAGTGAACCATGTTTAGTTATCTGGAAGGAAAATTTCCAGGCCGAACTAAGAATGTGGTACCAAGCTAGGCAAAATTATCGAGGCAAAGGTGATTTTTTTTAAAGGGGGTGACAGTAAAAGTAATCAGAGGACAAGGTATATTATGATATTGTAGGCTGGCACTTTAGTTCCTTATTTCTGCAAAATATCAATGTGTACAGTAAGAATAAAGGATTTGTTAGAAAATGAAAGAAACAGGGGCTGATGTAACTAGAGCCAGGTCTCACGTGAAAGATGGAGAAAATGGATTCCACTGGGGTTTTCTTCAGAGTGGAAGAGGATGATGTAGCCTCAGGGTTATTTTAGAAAGATGGACCTAGTGTTTGTATGGGGGAGAAGTGAATGCTTTCTGTTTACTAGACCAGCACAAACCGCTGTGAAAATGTAACAGTAACTTTATCTACTGTGATGAAGGCAATGTAAGGAGAGATTAGATTTAGGGTTAAAGATCATAATAAAATGAAATTAACTGGTGTTATAATTTTATGTTAAGTATCTACCATATGATCTCACATTTTAATAATATATTAATAAAATAAAATAGTAGGCACCAAAATGCTATGGTTATATCTGGATGTGGGTTAGCAAGATTTTATCTTTTTACTTGCATATTCTAGTTGCTTTAAAAAGCTTGGACATTTTTCCTAAGAAAACAACTATTTTAGTAAAAATCAAATTAATACAGCAGATCCAATTATAGACAGGCACAGCAATACAATCTTTCAGGATAATAGCAATGTTTGTATTATTTAATCAACACACTCCACAGTATAATCACAGTATTATCAAAGTTCTGTTGTTCTATATTTAATCAAAATATTTGTTAATGATGCTGAGATGACCCATGTTTTATAAACTCAATACTTTGAGAAGCTCATAACATAGACCTCAAACATGTATTTTAGAAATTGTACAATATACATTATATGAGATTACTAATAAAATTATTAGTTATCCCTTGAAACATGAAAAACCATTTCTATAACTGATCAGCTCAAAACAATACTCATTATCACTTACTTTCCATAAATAGAGGATTTGAAAGTGGCTCAGATTTCTGATGATAGATAGGGCCATTCCAAACTTGTCTGGGTTTGACTGGGACTAGAGAACCCATTCTAAGATGTCTTCCTCAGATAGCTGGAAAAAGAATCTTCTATTTCTTGATGATGAACTGATTTCAGTTTCTTTTTTTTTTTAAAGATTTATTTATTTATTTATTTTATGAATATACTGTAGCTGTCTTCAGACACACCAGAAGAGGGCATCCAATCTCATTACGGATGGTTGTGAGCCACCATGTGGTTGCTGGGATTTGAACTCAGGACCTCTGGAAGAGCAGTCAGTGCTCTTAACCGCTGAGCCATCTCTCCAGCCCTGATTTCAGTTTCTTACCATGTGGATCTCTTCATAGACATTCTTGAATGACCTTATGTTATTGACTACCTTCTTCCAGAGTGAAAGATGAGAGGAAGAGGTGAGAGAGAGAGAGAGAGAGAGAGAGAGAGAGAGAGAGAGAGCGCAATGTCATCTATGACCTAGCTGGTTCTGCTACATTATCTTATTTTGATGAAAGGAAGTAAATCTAATCCCACACTGAAGGGCAAGGATTCAACTCTGTCTTTTGAAAGAAGGTGAGGATTAATTTTTTAATTTGTAAAAGCACCAAAACGTTAAACCGTTATAATAATGAATAAAGGATATTTTATGGGCACCCAAAATATTAACAGAAAAGTCCTCATTTAATTACTAACAGAACTTACACAGTTAATCCATATAGGGGGTGGGGAGGATTTGTTAGAATGACTTATAGGTTGTGGTTCAACTAGTCCTACAATTGCTGCCTATCAATAGGATGTCAAAGAATCCAGTAGTTGTTCACCCCATAAGGCTGGATGTCTCAGCTGGTCTTCAGGATTTGCCAGAACACTGAAGATGTAGACTCACGTCAGTGAAAGACTAGATTGACACAGGGTAACACTGCGGGTCCCAAGCCAGGAAGAGGCTGTGTGGGCCAGACTGACGGAGAACCAAGACAATTCAGGAAGAATGATTTGTTTGACTATAAATTATTACTGAATATAAATTATTAAAGGCCCTACAGAGCATACTGAAATGTAATTACCTTGGCCTTAGGTGTATAGAAAGGAAAGATTCTTGGGGCTGTTTCCAACATGG